ATTACAGGCTGACTTCAGGTCTGGTTAAGATCATTGTTACTTATAAATTATATATTTTTCTGGTATAAATCTGATTGTTGAATGAAATTAACATAGTTATTAATTTATTGTAAAAACATGACCGATAATCTGTGAAACAGATCCAGTTCAGCTGCTGTTTATCTATTAGTTTCTATGGAGGCTGTGAGCTGTTGCCCTTTTAGGACGCCATTTCTGCTCCTCCATGCTGTCATAGATGCTACCAGTGGACAGTATGGGCGGGGTAGTGATCTATATGTATAAGTCTATGGCCTGCGCTCACCTTTTTATTTTTTATTTAACCAGACAAAACATTAAGAAGAACTTATTTACAACGTCAGCCTGGCGGGGACAAGAGACACCCATAAGGAAAAGGTGAGGGAGAAACAAAACATCATGCAAACAACCTATCCAAGTAACAGAGAATATATCAGATAAAAATATACAAAATAAAATAAAAAACAAAACMTATAGCATAAAAACTGCACAAARCAGAAACGCCTGATCTCACCTTCATCCTGGACGCCTTCTTCCCTCCYCGGATGGCGTTGTCCTCGAAGGAGAACTCGTTTTCCCTGACGATGGCTCGGCTGTCTTTGTCCCCGACGTACGTCACCACGTACATGTCGGGCGCCCACATCTCAAACTCACGCTCCCAGTTAATGATGGTGGACAGGGGAGCGCTGACCAGAAACGGCCCCTTGGAGTGGCCCTGAAGGTGGACGCAGAGGGTTAATGCAACGTGGCGTAGCTGCCAAACAAAAACAGCTGGTAACCGCAGAACAACATGGTTTAAAAAAAAACTTCTCTTAGAAAAAAAAAAAAGCAAACAACTCTTCCAGCTCCCCGTGGCTTCAGCAGGAAGTGCATTCTGACCTCCCACCCTTAGGTGGCAGCAGCCACACACATGTGATCTGCCTGATTGTTTCCAGATCCAACTTAATGTCGACTGAATCAACTCACTTGTACAAAATGGCTGGATGCCACCTGACCAACAGAACCACAGCTCCGCCCAGGAAACACAACCTCACTACAAAAGCTGGGCTGGTTTGTAACTGAGACTCAAAACTGAATTATAAAGCTGAAATCTTGTCTTTACTTTAAATAAAAGTTAATAAACTCCATAAATAGAATATGAGCTTATATATCAAACTGGATTAAAACAGTATTTATTGAGAATTTTAGCTCAAAACAAACTTTCTCCATTAATCCAAGCGTCTCACAACAAATCACCTCTTTATACAGCGAGTAGAGGAAGACCGCGGTCTGGACCGTCTTTCCCAAACCCATCTCATCAGCCAGGATGGTGTCAGTGCCCTGAGCCCAGGAGAACCGCAGCCAGTTCAGACCCTCCAGCTGGTAGGGGTGTAGCGTCCCCCCGGTGCTGTCCAGGTAGTCCGGCTGACGCTCAAACTTACTCGTCGGCTGGAACCATAAATCAGGAAGACGTTTCAGTGATTTGTTTTAAGAAACTGCTAACAGTTAACATCAAGTTGAATCTGTTCACTTACATCCACCACCGGGTTCTCGGGGGGTCTCTCCGGTCGCTTCAGCCCCCTTCCCTTCACCTTGATCTTCTTCCCTGGCCTGCCGTCGTCTCCCATCATCAGCTCTCTGCCACAGAAACACGACGCAGTTATAAACCAGAGCTGCTTTAGTTTTCGGCGCTGAGCGGAACAGATCCCACCTGTGGTTCCAGTACTGCTGTTTGTACAGGTCAAACTCAGGTATGTCCATGTCCTCGGACTCCCAGGTGGCCTGATCGTAGGCCAGCTCTCGCCACTTGATCAAGTAGTGGACATTGCTCTTCCTGTCCACACTGGGAAAAAAAAAAATTAACAGAAAAACACATTTCACTTCTTGTGTTCAAATTATTATCACTTTTTGACAAATTCACTTAACATGCCGAGTTATCTAATAAGCATGTAAGACTATTACAAATCCTGTTTTTGTTTTGCAGAAAAGATCGATCAGAGGCATCACTCGAAAACATTACCATTATCCAGCTAATATATTATTTTGTAAATTGAAATTATATGATTTGGTTGACTATAATAT